TCCCTGATTTCTTGTCAATTTTGGCATGTGGTAGCAATTCAATAACGAATGAATGTTATCCGATCTGGGTGGATATTTATAGGGCAAGAAATGGGGGAACGAATGTGCATTTCAATTTGCTCGGAACTCAAGTGCATCGGGTTACCATGGCCGTTGCCGTGATGCGTTTCGGCGATCGGTTTTATTGTAATCTGCTTTGATTTTTTTATCATCAAATTTCATTTTTCCGGACAAGGCAATGTTACATTTTTAGAAATTTTGACAAAAATTACCCAGATATTTGAATGACAACTTTTCATGCAATGTTACTTGGGGTGACGTTTCCTTTGCGGTTCAGTATATATGAGGAAGAACATGATCGCCTTTTCGCGAACATCTGGTGTCATCACTGTTTGATAATGATACATGCACTCATGTTTATGATTTTGTCGGAATCGTACAATGAACTCGGGTTTAATATGACTAAAGGGTAGCAGGTTTCCCTTGTGAAAAATGTTTGGATAAAGTTAAAAATGTTTGGATTAAACTAATCAAAGGCCAGGTTAATCATTCACTTGATCATGTTACGTAGGTATCAATCTATAACGGTTTCTAGTACACAGTTTCATGTACATCTACTTGCATTTCTGTCAAGGGTTGCCATAAAGGTTATTTGGCAATACCTGCATGGCATACGGATATATACATCTGGGTAATTGACCAAGTGCTGGTAAGCAAAGGTCTACGCTGTGTGTTAAACTCTGATTCTGATACTTGAAAGTTGTTGCATCTTAAGACGTTCTGATGCCTCAGGTCAAGATATGTCTGAAATGTTTACTCTTCCAAATTGAATGCCCGTGTCATTATCATTTTCAACATTTACGTTCCCGAGGAAAATTGAGAGTTGGAAGATAACAACACAACGCAAAATGAACACTTCCTCGTCCAGCTTATATATATCTAGTTCATGCTTAGCGGTGGATATGTGGTTTTGCAATGATCTTTGCAGCCTGTATCACAATTTCAACACAAGTTGAGGATGCAGTGGATATCAGTTGTTACGGCAGTTGGATTAACTGCCTTGGTCAATTTCTTTGCAGCAGAAGGTAAATACCAATCACCAATAAGACGATATAGTTTTCTAAGACTTACATATCTGGAAAATAGTGAGGTCAAACAGTGGATTATCGTGTGCATTCGTTTTCATGCTTCCTCTCATATATATATACTATATGGCTGACTACCGTATCAATCTCAATATCCAGAACGACATTTGAGGTTTGTAGGTTTGCGAGATGAACTCATGTTATTCATGGTGTATTTCCTTCTCTATGGAAATTGTGTAGGGTTTTTGTCGACTAGGTAGCTGGATTTATTATCCACAATACGGAATGTTCGTGTTAAATTGTGCCTGCATGTAACATCGGCGATGTTTATGGAGTCTTATTTGTTAGAGTACCTCTTAGAGAAATTATATCTTGAAGGGTTGCAACGAATTGTTTGTCTCCAAGTGGTTGACAAATGTGTTGACATGTGTTGATTACACTGTTTATATGATGCGACACAATAACGGTTCATTATGTGGTAAATACATCATACAATGTTAAATTGTGTTGCAGAGGTGGATGTGTGCAATGGAGGAAAGGCGAGTGCGCGGAACATCAATCTGACAATAGATTTGACTTCAATTAACTATAGATGTTGCTGTCATCTAAATTTGAAAAGAACTCAGGTACTGTGGAGAAATATGACTGTAGGCTGTGGAATAACACTTGTTCATGATGTATCATTCCTTGGCAAAACCTGTAAAAGCACAGGCACCCTTGCTCAGAAAGTCAGTCCGGGTGAAATTCACTTTGATCTGTGTGTCGTTCGGGAGGATTGCCATGCACAGACAAAGTCACTCCAAGGCCAGTTGATGCTGCAAGCAACCGTTGATGGTATTGTATTACATCTACATGTAATCTGTTTTATCATACATGCTGTACATCACTTCATGTTAAATGGCGTTCGTCCTCTATCCCAAACTAAGTAGTGAATGTTTATTTTTTACAGGTTCAACTGTTCACTTGAAACTCATGTAATTGTGATGATTTGGTAAACATTGTGGTAACGTTGCCTATCAAGTTTGTTTTTTTCAGTCTCATTCAAATCATCTAGCTAAGACATAGGTTTGAGGATGTCACATCGCAGGTCACGCAAGAACTACGTTTCATCCGACCAATTAGAGCGTCGTCAAATGTCTTTTTTTTCATGTGAACAATTGACTTGCCTTTGCATGTGTTTATGACGGATGCCATCGCGAACAACTGGCATCATCAATATTTTAGAGAGATTCATAAACTTAACACATGTTCATGATACAGTCGGAATCCTACAATCGACCCTGCTTTGGAATATGCATATGCAAAGGGTTTTGTCGCTTTTATTTACAAGATCGCGAAAGAAGTGAAAGTCCAAATTATATTTTTTTGTAATCATATAAACACGAATACTCGTAGGTTAACATGATGCATTCTGAACGATAGTTACGGGCTTTACGACTGGTTCCGTTAAGATCATCATCTATCTTCCGTTTTTTTTAAACGGATGAGCATTTCCATAGCCCTTTGAAAGTACTGCCATACAATCAGGGTCATCTATCAAATATTGGGGTCTTTAAATTTAAATCGAGAACTTTGTCAAAAGATTTTTCAAAACGTAGTCGGGAATGCGAGTCGCCTTTTTCAAACTTGTAACGCAAAGCTCGAGGCAGCTGCTTTCTTATTGGCTATTGTCGACTTCCTGTTAGTCCTGTGAACGGTAAAAAGTCACGGAAATCCGTTCTGACGTAATGTCCTCAAATCTTTGTGTTGCGGTGTAATGACAATGTTTTTTTATGAACACTATGGCATACCTTTTGGTTGTTCCGGGTGATTATAGATTGGACTCAGATGTATTGCATATCAGTATATGAACAGAAATAATATTTTGCAGAAAAGCACCGTTTGATCTACTGCAGCTTTAATGAAAATAAATTGATTTCAACAAACATATGCGCTTTGTGGCAAGTACAACCAATCAGTTGTGCTTGATTAGAATTACTACTGTCTGCAAAGTCTGGACAGTTTGTAGAATTATAATGCCCGTTGGTTTCAGTAATATTATATTGTACAGACATAGACGTGAACTGCAGACAGCCAATACCATGCGCGGGTTCCTCTGAGCGAGGTGTGACCAAGGTAGAGCCAACTACAGAACTGACTTCAACGTCTTCAGGTAAAGCAGAACAATACACAGTAATCCACATGTCACATCACAGGAGCTGAACGTTGACTCCACAAAAACACATGGTTTTGATTATCAATCTATCTAACTTTTAAGTCGTATTGTTAAAAATTGAATACGGTGTGTTTGAATAGAACTACTGCTGAATGTTTAAGAGAATTATACCGTCCGACAAAAGAAACGCGAAAACCATGCATGTTGAGTAGTGAGTGAGTATGGTTTTACGCCGCTGGTAAAAACTGGTGTTCCCCGCCGTGATACTGCTGGAATATTGCTAAAAGCGGCGTAAACCAATCTCACTCACTCTATATGTTTGGTTAGCGTTTCTTTTGGCGGTGAGTATGTACTGGAAATCATGTGCAGCATATCGTCATAAGAATAAAGACACTGTGGTAGCATTGGGCGGATTGTTAGTTTTGTCAGAAACTCTTCTTGACATACATACTTCTCTATATGTTTCTTTTGTTCGCGTTTCTTTTGGCTGTGAGTACATATTGCTTGTAAGCTGGGTGATATTATGCTTTACAGACACAGACGCGAACTGCAGTGATCCATTATCTATGATTCCAAGCACTGGATCCACTCAGCCAGGTGTGACCGAGGTAGAGTCAACTACAGAACTGACCCCGTCAACGTCTTCAGGTGAGTGAAAGCAATACACAATGATCCACATGGAACACCAAATGATACACGTATGTAAGGTCCAACATCTTACAATTACGTCTTAACTTTTTAACACATAAGATTTAAATTAAGTACCACAAACCAAAGAAAAGTGATAATACGTCAGGATTATAATAGGACTTTTTCTCACAGACCACAATGCCTATAGATTTCTTTTGTTCGCGTTTCTTTTGGCGGTGAGTATATATTGCTTGTAAGCTGGGTGATATTATGTTTTACAGACATAGACGTGAACTCCAGTGATCCATTATCCATGATTCCAAGCACTGGATCCACTCAGCCAGGTGTGACCGATGTAGAGTCAACTACAGAACTGACTCAGTCAACGTCTTCAGGTGAGGGAAAGCAATACACAATGATCCACATGGAACACCAAATTATACACGTATGTAAGGTCCAACATCTTACAATTACGTCTTAACTTTTTAACACATAAGATTCAAAGTAAGTACCACAAACAAAAGAAAAGTGATAATACGTCAGGATTATAATAGGACTTTTTCTCACAGACCACAATGCCTATAGATTAAAGCTTAGTATGTACATGTATGTGTAGTGAGTACGTGGGTTTATTTGGTTTAACGCTGCCTTGCAAAGTACATCAGTTTTATCAATGTGTGTCAGCTTGAGATGTGCGAGGAAGGCCCGAAGGTCTTTGACTTTCACCACTTCGATTAAAATCACGAACACGGGCATGATGTTGTCCAACCCAAAAGCACATTCAGGCGAATCAAGGATTCGAATTCATGATCAAAGATTCCTGGCACGCCAGAGCTACGTAAATCTGAACAAGCGATCTGTTTGTTTAACGCCGCATTCAACACTATTCAAGCTTTATGACGCCGGGCAATAAGTAATCGAATTTAGAACAAACAATTCAGTGACTGATGTTGAACCCCCTGGTGCCCGCGATAAAAGTGAAGAAGGACATTATGATATCTGACAACAGGCATTAGCTAAATCATCTGCTTGGAACACACAATCCAGTGACCGATGTCATGAACATGATATTCGTTTAGCGAGATAAACGCCTCGATTCGGGACACGCATTTCCAAATTGCTAAAAGATCATGTGGATAAAGGTCAATGGTAATAATTGTTTGTATAACATTTTCTCATTCTGACATTTGTTTCTCAATGAGTTATTATTTACATTGATAAAATTGACAGTTACAATAGCAATATGTGTGCAAACTTGATTTTTAATAGTTACATGGACCGCCTCCGCGGTCTTGTGAATAGGGCGTCTGCCTGGAAAGCGGAAGGTCAATGGTTCGATTCCCTGGGAGGGTAATACCAAAACTTTAAGAGATGGTATTAGTTGTTACCCTACCTAGCGTTCGTCATTATGTTAAGGGTGTAAAAAAAGGGCTGGAGTCAGTGTGATGTATCTGAGTAGGGTCGCACTCGCATAACTCCAGACTAGCACAGTCAGCTACACACACGGACATATGGGTCGCTATAGCAGTGAAATAGTCTTGAACACGACGTTAATCCCCTTTGTCCTGACCTCAATTCATACATCTAGACACTGTTCATATATCCTCAAAGCACTTTGACAATGATGGATATGACATCTACTTGCAGAAGCTAGTAGAAGCAGCCACACACGCGCGTGTACACGGCGCTATAAAAGTGCAATATTCTTGAACGCCAAGTTAAACTTCATTACACCTCCACAAATCCTCTGGGATGAGAAGTGTGGTATGAGGTTATAATTGATAACTTGGTGTACACGTTTAATTTATATAAATTAAGTAATCTCTAAATAAATAATCTCCAAATAACACACTACTTGACAGATGTTACGTTTATCACTTAAAGAACTTAGACGACAGGGCCCCTGGTGCCCGCGATAAAAAAAAAGTGAAGAAGGACATATGATATCTGATAACAGACATTAGCTAAATCAGCTGCTTTCTTTTTCATCATAAACATAAATAGTACTGTAGTCGTAGAGCTTTTGATCAGGAATTATTATCGTTCATATCAGTTTCAAGATGCAGTATGTGACTATAGTCATGTTTGTGTCGTCGCTGTTCTCCTCTGATCACAACATATTTACTCAGATGAGAGGGTGATCGAATAAGGATGTATATATATATATATATATATATATATATATATATATATATATATATATATATATATTACTGGCAAATCATTAAGACGAGATATTCGTCTTCTATCATAGTGTTACAGAACACGTGTGAAGGTGCTTTTTGTTTCAGGAGTTTTGGAAAATCTGGCAACTCTTACATCTACACTTCGGTGTAAAGATATTTGGTATATGCTAAATACGAACAGTGAGCCTTTCGTTTTGATTGCCAATCAATCACCAACATGTCTTATCACATTTGTTTTTGACATTTATTTCACAAGATAATAACAAGGATCTCCTATTGATAGTATCAAAGAATATTTGATGGGAAGAGAACTTTCTTGATTCAAACACTCACTAATTATTAAATAAATAAATGTTTTAAAGAAAGAAAAAGAAGCTTATCAGTATTTGTAATTTAATTTAAATAATGAGTTGAGTTGATGATGCTCACATGTCTTGCATCAATTTCACACTGGGGACGGGGGCACATGACATGAAAAGCATGACTTATTTCATCATATGTTCAATGTGAAAAATATATGTTTTATGATTCCGTAGGACTTTACATAGCGTTAGCGGTGATTGGAGGCGTCTTGACGTGCATCGGTGTTGTATGCGTGATATTGTAAGTACACAGTAGAAGGTGATCATTTTTGTAATGTAAATGTGTGTGAAACGAAAACAAGAGAAATACAAGCATGGACTACTAGAGTTTTGTATGTTAGAAACCGATACATTTTCGCCGAGGACAAAACGAAAACTAGGGAAAACAGCAGTACATCAGTTTCTTAAATATGAATTTAGAAATTCGTTAACGTTAAGCTTTGCTCTGAAAATCCTCTTGAAAATATGACTGTTCAACCGATCTTTCCGAATGTTAACTGTATGTTAAATGCATGGTTCTGCGGTGTTGTTTTGTCACAGAAGTAACAAATATAAGGTTAAACATACAGAGAAAATGGTAGGACAGCCGTTGCAATACGATCCATTTCCAATTCGATAGCAATCGTAGAAATCTTTCTTTTTAGAAAGTATTTATTTACTTACAGGGAACATCGGAGGAACCAACACTTTGATGTGCCAGAAGAGACAGTTTGTGATGTTCAAGTGAAGAGGTACAACGAAGACATCATTTTACATGTTGACCAGGCAGAAAACCAGAAAGAAACGAACGTGCCAGCGGAATGTGCTTGTGAAGAAAACGGAAATAGGAGTGGCCAGGTCATTAATGGCCACTTTGATGATGTTGACAACACAGTAAAGAACCAGGAAAATATAATTTACGAATCACAATTGACGGCTTCCTGCAATACTTTGAAACAGTACATCCAGGGCAACGGAGTGGGTGGAAATTATTATGAGGACGTTGACAACATAACAACGAACCAGAAACAGATCTCTAAATCACATTCGGCAGCCTCGTGTAATGCTCTGGAACAGAATAGCCAGGACAAGGGAGTCGGCGGAGATTATGAGGACGTAGACAACACAACCCCATCGCCGGCCTCATGTAATACTCTGGAACAGCATAGCCAGGGCAAGGGAGTCGGCGGAAATGATGAGGACACAGACAATACAGCAGAGAGCCAGGAAGATTTCGCTGAATCACAATCGACGGCTTCTTCTAATAATCAGAAACAGAACAGCCAGGGAGACGAAGTCAGTGGAGGTTATGAGGACATAGACAACACCGCAAAAAGCCAGGAAGATATATCTGGATCACAATCGACGGCTTCTTGTAATAGTCTGAAACAGCACAGCCAGAGCAACGAAGTCGGTGGAGATTATGAGGACATGGACAACACAGCGGATGCCAAGGAGCAGCCGACAGGACCAGGAAAGGTTGAATCTGAACCATGCATTAAGGACATCATACAGGATAATGCATATGAAACAATATCCATCGGAGAGGGTAATCGCAGACCAGCGTCCATTTTACAGCTTTGTCCCGAGACCATCCTTAAAACTGGTGATGTTTATGCGAAAGTGAAAAAGTGAGGATATCAACTTTGGAATGGGCTGATCAGTGAGAGGCTGCATATGATACATGTAACACAGCCAAAATGTGCATGGAACTCAACATTGACAGCACTATTTATTTATCTCGAATTCCACCATACTGACGTGTAGGCGGAGTTCTGCATTTCAACTATTCGTCTATTCCAGAATGTGGCTGTTTGTTTCCATTTTACTACCAATGTGTATTTTTGTTCGGAAGTAATCTTTGGAAATCAATATTGGCTTATTAAAAAGTACCTTCTGCGCCGTGTGGAAGTTCATACGACGTGAAGCGATGGTCAAGTTACTGTTTAATCAGAGACATGCTATTGTGATTTGAAGCCGTTGATGTGAATGTTTTGTTTTTTTTAATTTCAATCACTGTATATATTCTCATTTAAACCACGAACAATAGGATTTGAATAATGATATTATGCGCTGGGAGACTGATGCAGCTCTACATGTATGTGATATTTTCAACTTTTGCCTGCAATAGTGCACATAACACATCCATCAAGTTAAAACATGTGTAAATAATGTATTGTGTTCTGATGGTCACTTAAATTTAATTGTTCATTTCTATTTGTTATCAAAGTAATGTTGTTTTTTGTGTGCATGTGTGCGTGCGGGCTAGCATGCGTCTGTGTATGTTTGTGTGAATGTAGATTAGTTACATCTGCAGTGAAAACAGCCTGGGGGATGTGTTTCCAAATGTCAACAAAGGATTAGTTCAACTGGGCAGGCGTCACGTGTTGCTTTTGGCCGTGTCATAGGAGTCGTTCCGTTTCATCCAATACATGTTGTAAGGGGTTGAGGTCTGGAGAATCACCCGGCCATGGTAGTAGCACAGCAATGTGTTGCTGCCTCAAAAGATCTTTTATAACACGTGCAACATATGGGCGGGTTTTATCCTCCTGCAACGTTGTTTTGCTCTCTCTGACGACTGCGTATGATTCTGCCACTAACTGGCAATGAAGCAGCTTGGTATCGATTCCGTAGATGTACAAACCGAATACGGTTGTCTTGTTGACGTCACGTGTAGACGACCGACCGGTGGAAAGTCTTGAGTGCTGCCCTGCTGTTGTACCTTAGAGATAGTAATGTAAAATATCTGGCATCTCCGTTTGGCGCCATTCCTGTTTGCAGCATGCCCAGGGCGCGCCGACTCGATTACGGTACAACAGAATTGTTTTATGAGCACCTGATAGCTAAACTGTCATTCTGTGCTGTTTACATTAAAAAAACACATATCATGCTCCAAACCGACACGCAGACGTCCTAATTGTGTGCCATACATTAACATGCATGTGAAAATTGTGAATCACGACCTAAAAGTCGAGGTGATATCTTCATGTATTGAAAGATAGCTTATTTATTTTCAGAATATATGTACTTTTTATTGCACTTTATATGAAACAATGATACATATTTCCGTTAGTATATATCTTTTCGTGATGTCATTTACAGTAATCTCTGGATACCTTTTAAGCTTGCTTTTGACTATTTGATTGTTTTATTCATACATGTACCACTGCACTCACCTCATGTTAACAACATTTCAACCACTGTAACCACATCAGGAATCTGAAACTGACAATCGCACCCACCTTAAATTTGATTGTAACATGTCAAGCACTGCACTCAACATGTGATTATAGGATTTCGACGTTATCCTGCAACTGGTACAGGCTTTTGTTCCTCATTTGTGAGCATTAAAAAGAAACATGTTCATTGTTTGATTTGTCCTTCAGAAGGTATTAGTCAAAAACGATTTACTCCCAAGATGATATAGTTAAATGTGCTTGGATTAGATATTAGTAATATACATAACATTCAACACAACTTGCGCAACAATACCATGGTGCTATTACACTATTTTGTTACTTTAAGTTTGTTTAAACTCTGTTTCCTTCTTCTTTCTTGAGGTGCTCTGAGAATCTGTTCTATTTAACTACCTAAACAGACACAAATAACAACGTATACAATACACATTGACGTATACAATCAATCACATAAACAATCACATCGTTGTCGTTCGGCAGTAGAATCGAGTTCCCCTAATAAATTGATTAAACAAGATATATATACTTGTGCACTGCGTGTAATTCTCGATTTCCGTTGATTGATCAGGCAGTAGGTAACGTTATCGATAATGTAAACGAGAACAAGGAAAGTGTTGAACAAAACGTTTTAACATGTGACTCACAGTGAGATAACAGCATAAAGTACAGTGTGTTGAAACCATAGCAGTCAACACCAAGCGAGTATAAAGTTCGGGCTTTCAGATGAAAAAAAATGAATGCATGTTTTATTGATGAATCCAAAAATTGGCATGCATGTTGAGTAGATTATAGTGTTCATAGAGTAGATATCATAGTAGATGTCATCGATGTGAATTTTAAAAACATTAGGTTTCATCGCAATACTGCTTCAAATATGCTGTCTTCAAGAAACTGATAAATTCTGTGAAAGGTAATGGTTTTTAAAATTCAGTGTGAAGAAGTGATAATGAGCAGCATTCAATAGCCCTGTCGGAGACGATTTAGCATCATGCTTATCTGTGCTTACATTCAGCACTGAAGTTTGGCTTCAAGATAAAGTGTTAAATGAGGCCGCAAAAACTAATGATATTACCTCTATTAACTTCAAATCTATGTGAACACTCTTTTAGCTTTGTGCGAGTGATAATACACAGTTTCTTGGTATTTTTCATGAGATCAAAGGTCACGATGACAAAAGGGGTTCGCCTGGTATTAATCACCATTTGATAGTGATGCATATACACATTATAATGATATAGACGGAATTGTACAATGGACTCTGCTTTGTGCAGAGATTTCGTATGATTATGAAATGGGTTTTGTCGCTCTTATTTTATCACCAAAGGTATAAAATGCGATCCTGTTTTGAAAATGTATTCATGTGAATTAGTCCAAGCTCAATGGCATCCTTTCGTTTATCACACAAGTAGCTATAGATCTGTATCAGTATCTATGACGATGTTTTATCTACATGTGTTTCTGTCAAAAGTCAAGGTCGTCATTAAAGGCATTTGTCAAAACAGTGTTATGCATTGTTATGCATTTTTACGAACGCTGTGTGATTCTAATACTTGGTATGTCTAAAATATAATCTCCTCCAAGTTGAAAGCCCGCATAGTTATTATTTTATCACGTTTACTTTCATGACGGGTTCGCAGATAACAACATAAAACACTTCCTCGTCCAGGTTAATTTTATGCTATGTATCGATTTCATAAATAGCGGTAGAGACTACTTAAATGATTTGGGTAGTGTATGTCACAATCTCCACACAAGGTGATGATGCAGTGGATGTTTGCTGTAATAGCTGTTGGATTATCTGCCTTGGTCAATGTCTGTCAAGCAGAAGGTAAATACTATACAAAGCATCAATAATATGGTATAGAGATCTAGGACATACAAATAATATTGATTTGAAATTAACGGTAACTCCATTATCGACTTTCTGATAAGTTTATAGGCATAAGCGAGATTTGTACCGTGAGTGACCCTCACATGGCCATATCCACGTATCTGGAACCTTTAAACCCACAGATATTGACTGTTGGAGCCAAAGAAAGGCGGCTAAAATAGTGAACATGCGAGTGTTCATGTTATATTGAACATTGTTCTGTTATGACGCCCCCTGCACCGTCTACTTTTGTAGGTTTTATGGACGAATAGTAGTAGTACCGTAACGGTACTGCATTGTAACCTGATGCCTGGCGTAAAATCACTGTATGGCGTCATAAAAGAATGTAACTGCCCATTACGAATGGAGAGAATTATATCATTACGCACGTTTTCTTTTGTTATGTTGTGAAATATGTAGGATGCTAACACATTGATATTATGATGTTTTGGTATAGATAAACGTTTCATCCATAAGTGGTTACAGCTTTCAAAAAAGTTAAATATTTTTATTATGCGTGTATGCTAAAATACGTATATTTTCAAAAGTAAAAAAATTGAACAAAATTGAATAAAAATTACCCGTTAAATATTTTCAAAGTACTTCATACGACTCTTGCTCCAAAGCTGTCTGATCACTAATACAACATTCAAGGCCAAAATAGTTTTATGATAGACATATGGAGAACATTTCCAAAAGTGTCGGTCCAGTGACAAAAATCATGTTTAATGCAATTCCCTATTTTGACTTGTATCATAAACTTTATTCCCGTGGTCTATTTTCGGTGAACCATTTTTAGGCCTTTGCAAGTGTTTGTGACGGGTGGCAGCAGTGTGGCAGAAAATGGTCACCTTTCAGCAAACACTCGGTATCATCACTATTTCATAGTGATCAATAAACACATGCTCATGGTGCAGTCACAATAGTAAACTTGAAATTTCTTATGACCGTGGAAATGATTTCGTCGCTGTTTTAAGTACTATAGGAGAACTATTTTGTACAAATAACACATATAAGATGGTAGACGCGCGTTTTTTCTTAATTTTGAAGTTTATGTTTGACAAATTCCCGTTATTCTTTGTTTCTGTAGGTTCTCTGGGTGAATTGATCCAATTATTGGCAAATTTCATGTTTCTCCAAGCGTTGTTTGCAAGTTTTATTTATAAAACATACGCTTTTCCTTAGCTTCTACTCCAACTCCCTTTACAGACCCCATATATTAGTATATATTTGCCAGAGAGTCTCGGGGCCCAAAAAGTAACCATTAGACACACAGTTTCAAGTGAAACTTTCTGGATTAATGAAACAGTTTAGTGAACAGTGTGCCCTGTGTCAAATATATTTATTACTTACCCGTTAACTTTGCTAGAAATTGTCTATCTATTTGACTTTTTCTGTTGCATTGATGGCATATATGTGACAACTACATCACATAAGGTGAAATTGTTTTGCAGAGGTGGAGATGTGCAATGAGGGATATGCGAGCGCACAGAACATCAATCTGACAATAGCTTTGACTCCATCTTCCTTTAGATGTTGTTGTCATCTAGATTTCAAAGCAGCTCAGACAGTATGGAGAAGGACGACTGTGGACTGTGGAATAACGCTTGTTCATGATGTAACATTCCTTGACAAAAACTGTAGTCAAAATACCAGCATTTCTCAGGCGGTCGATCAGAATAAAACAGATCTGTGTGTTGTTCGGGAGAACGGCCTTCAACAGAACAAGTCACTCACAGGCCATATGATATTGCAAGCGACAAGTTATGGTATTGTATTCAGTCTGAATCCTTATCTATTATATCATGCAGGATGTACAGCATCACTCTATTATCTTAATGTTGTTGGCTTCTATCCCTTGGTAATTTGTAATGTTTGACTTTGACGTACAACTGATCAACCTGATATGTTTTTCATTTTGCTCGTTATTAAAACTATCATACAATTTGTTTAAAAAGTATTTCAAAACATGATCAGAAATATTGTTTTCTAGCATAGTTTAGTAACGATCATCTAGAACTTCAATACAAATAGATTGATGTTAACAAACTGACACGCTTTGCGTCAATTACAACCTATCCGATGTTCGTAGGAGATGTAATGCTTGTTGACTACAGTAATATAATGTTGTACAGACATAGACGTGAACTGCAGTGAGCCAGTTTTGATGAGTCCAAGCACTGGTTCCAATCCGCCAGGTGTGTCCGAGGTGAAGCCAACTACAGAATCAACTACTCCGTCAACGTCTTCAGGCAAGGAAGAACAAAACACAATGATCCACATGGAACATCAAATGATACATGTACATAATATTACAATAATGCATTTAATTATGTCTAAACACACAAGCTAAACGTTAAACATCACAATACCCAAAGGTTGATATTTGATAATACGTCAGGATTATTTATAGGCTTCAACACTTCATCTTTGGTGTAAATTGTATGATCACAGCACACGATGCCCATTTGTTAATGTATAATATGAATGTGTTGTGAGATCCGTGAGTGAGGTTGGCTTCACACTGCATTGAACAGTATTAGAGTTATACCACGATGTGTCAGTTGACAAAGGAGAAAAGCCCGAAGTGATGCAAGTCTTAGACGTTAACACATTTGGTTAAACCCATGAGCACGGGTATGATGCTACATACCCGATGAACGTACCGATATCTGCTGTACATGTAACAAAAACATTATATTAGTTCAAAAACTAACTGTTTTCTCGCGAAAGATTTGATACAATAAAAGAGATAGTTTAAATTGAAGATGAACATTATCAGAGTGTATTAGGATCAGAAACGTTTCAAAAGAGAGTCTGATTAAAACGTTCTGGGGACATGAAAAGCATCAATATTTTCAATGTGTAAAATATATGTCTCATGATTCCGTAGGACTTTACATAGCGTTAGCGGTGGTTGGAGGCCTCTTGATGTGCATCGGTGTTGTATGCGTGATATTGTAAGTACACAGTAAAAGGTGATCATTTTCGTTATGTAAATGTGTGTGGAAAAAAACAGGGAAAAACTCACGACCTTAGCAGTACATCAGTTTGTTAAATATGAATTTAGAAATTTGTTAACGTTCAGAAATTCGCATTTACAATTTAACGTTACGCATTCACTCTGAAAAAAATCTTTCCGAATGTTAACTGTATGTAAAATGCATGGTTCTGCAGTGTTGTTTTGTCACAGAAGTAACAAATATAAGGTTAAACATACAGAGAAAATGGTAAGATAGCTGTTGCAATACGATCCATTTCCAAGGCGATAACAATCGTAGAAATATTTCTCTTTAGAAAGTATTTATTTACTTGCAGGGTACATCGGAGGATCCAAAACTTTCCTGTGCCACAAGAGGCAGATTGTGATGTTCAAGTGAAGAGGTACAACGAAGACATTATTTTACATGTTGACCAGGCAGAAAACCAGAAAGAAACAAACGTGCCAGCGGAATGTGCTTGTGAAGATAACGGAAATAGGAGTGGCCAGGCCATTTATGGCCATTTTGATGATGTTGACAACACAGAAAAGAACCAGGAAAATATAATTTACGAATCACAATTGACGGCTTCCTGCAATACTCTGAAACAGTACATCCAGGGCAACGTAGTGGGAGGAGATTATTATGAGGACGTTGACAACACAACAACGAACCAGAAACAGATCCCTGAATCACAATCGACAGCTTCGTGTAATTCTCTGGAACAGAATAGCCAGGACAAGGGAGTCGGCGGAGATTATGAGGACGTAGACAACCCAACCCAATCGACAGCCTCATGTAATACTCAGGAACAGTACAGCCAGGGCAAGGGAGTCGGCGGAGAATATGAGGACATAGACAACACAGCAAAAAGCCAGGAAGATATCTCTGAATCACAATCGACGGCTTCTTGTAATTATAGTCTGAAACAGCGCAGCCAGGGCAACGTAGTCGGTGGAGATTATGAGGACATGGACAACACAGCGGATGTCAAGGAGCAACCGGCAGGACCAGGAAAGGTTGAATCTGAAAGATGCATCAAGGACATCATACAGGATAATGCATATGAAACAATGTCCATCGGAGAGGGTTATCGCAGACCAGCGTCCATTTTACAGCTTTGTCCCGAGACCATCCTTAAAACTGGTGATATTTATGCGAAAGTGAAAAAGTAATGATATCACCTTATTGACTTTGGAATGGGCTGATCAGTGCGAGACTGCATCTGATACATGTAACAGAGCCAAAATGTGCATGGAACTCAACATTGACAGCACTATTTATTTATCTACATTCCACCATACTGACGTGTAGGCCTCCTGCGCCGTGTGGAAGTTCATACAACGTGAAGCGAAGGTCAAGTTACTGTATAATCAGAGACATGCTATTTTGATTTAAAACCGTTGATGTGAATGGTTTCTTATATAATTCAATCACTGTACATACCCCTTTAAACAAGGAACAATGGCGCTTGAATAATGATATAATGCGCTGGGAGATTGATGCAGGTATATGTGTGACATTTTCATTTTTTGCCTTAAATAGTACACATTTCACATCTATCAAGTTAAAACATGTGTAAATAATGTATTGTGTTCTGATGGTCACCTAATCCTTTTCACCCACTGTGAATAATGTTACTTCGAAGAATTAAATTTTATTGTTCATTTTTATTTGTTATCATATAAATGGTTTTGTGTGTGTGTATGTGTGTCTGTGTGTGTGTGTATGTGTGTGTGTTTGTGTGTGTATGTATGTGTGTGCGTGTTTATGCGTGCGTGCGTGCGTGCGTGCGTGCGTGTGTGTGTGTGTGTAGATTAGTTACATCTGCAATGATAATAACAATGTCCTTGCCGCATATCTCCTGAACAGTTCTGTTGTAACATCACACACAAACCAGATCAACACCATACAATGGGCAATCTATTCAATATTTATTCAATTCTATAATATCTGTTCCATGGGCGGAAAGGTGAGACACAGCGATGGCATCCGTCACAAGCACCTGCAAACGCAAATCAAGGTTTCGGCTGAACAAACAGAGGAACATATGGAAAATAAAGAATTGCATCACACATCATTTATGTCACTTATGGCAAATATGAAGACGTCCTCACCATGTCTACCTTAAGTCTTTTTGAAAGCTTTACTGAGGCCTTTGATGTTGTAACCCAAATAAAACAACTTATGAGCAAAGAGTCGTAGAAATAGGGTACTCGATTGTACCTCAAAAGTTGTGAAATGTGACACCAAAGGCTGGAGCTGCTGGAATACTGATTGACATAGAGGGAAAGTCGACTTTTGGAAAGTTGATTCCTCTTGTGGATAGATTTGTATCATCAGAATACGTATGCATAGATCTAAATATGAAAATGGCTGATCTCTTTTATTTCTCGTTCAGGTGGGTAGATCAATGGAACTGGGTTGGTTATTTGACCACCTAAGCAAGGCGCTCGAATCTTATCGACCCTTCCCTGCATCAGTCCTTTAAAAGTGCTATCTTATACTTACACACTTGTAGAGGCGATATATCTACATGTGCAATGTAATACGTATTCAAATGTCTGACGCTGATTGTATGACATTTAATTACATTGGCAAAATAAAAGTATGCGAAATATGCAAGTTTTACAGTGGACATGCAGTGAGTGAGTGAGTTTGGTTTTACGTCGCTTTTAGCAATATTCCAGCAATATCACGGCGGGGAACACCAGAAATAGGCTTCACACATTGTACCCATGTCGGGAATCGAACCCGGGTCTTCGGCGTGACGAGCGAAGGCTTTAACCACTAGGCTACCCGACCGCCCTGGACATGCAGGTATACCAAGACACTTATTTGGTCAGAAAATGTTTGAGCATGCAGATGCAGTGAAAGAATAGGGGTACAGTTGTTTAGAATTATTGATAAAATAAAACAAATGAAAACCTTTCATAAAATAGTTTGGCATAGACATGGAACTCGTTGAAATTCGCTTTGTATAAGGAATACCGTAACGGTTCGTGATGGTTTTTTTGTTTGATTCGTTGTTTAACGCCGGTCTGTCCCAGCTATATGACGGTGGCCTGTAAATAAACGATTCTGATCCTGACAAAACACGTATTATTTTATGTTCAACTATATATTCTCTCCGTTGGGGTACTATGAAACCCCATCAGCCAAGTAACCGAGTCGGATCCAAGAAGCCTCATCGTACGACAAGCATAAATTTAGGTTTCAAGAGAAATATTTGAAACCGGAATCTCCACGGGGCTGATGTTTCAAGCGATTGCGTCTAGGACATCATTATGATCAGTACTTCATGACCGAATTGTGATCATTTCACTAAATCCCACTCAAGACGTCCAGGAATTTTTAAATTGCCGTTGAACACCAGCTCGTATAAGTATAATTGTCTGCGAATATGTGCTCATAATTGTGGAATTATTTTGTCATACATATGTTGTATTTATTTATTTGTGGCATATTTTTATATCGATATAACAAAAAAAGCAACACCACTGACAATGCATCCACCCAAGATATGTGTAATGGATTCTTGTATGTTATAATTTATTTGATAATAAGCTTTCGTTACATCCAAACTCACAAGAATAAACATTAGAAATATATATTTTGTTATCTATAAGATTGTTAGATTTATTGTATTGTGAAATTTTGACAGGGTGGAAGGATCATGCAGGTGTAATTAGATCAGACAAGTAATTACAGGATTAATATTATGCTTCAAGATAATTGACAATTTCATAAGTTACTATCAATGAAACAGGAAACTGAAAATAACATACCTTTACTTTGCAAATTGAAAATAGCTTACCCTTGTTCATGATATAGTCGAAATCGTACAGTCGACTCTTCTTTTGGCAGAATATATGGAAAAGCTTTTGTCGCTTTTTGTTTATGTATCTCACATGTAAACGTCTTCAGAAAGACGTAGAAAGACAGAACGTACACACAGTAGTAGTTATAGAATATTTCAATGAACAACATAATTATAATAAACGCACAACACTTATGGACTAGAAAAAATGGATGGAACTTTATTGCAAAATATAATGAGGAATCTTTGGTAGTATATGAATGTTGTTAAAGAACAACAGTGGAGGGGTATTCGTGTCTGATTCCCTACATGGGTATAAGATGTGAACACTTCTTGTGTCTACGGCCCTGCCCACTTCACTCACTGGTAATAAAAACATTGTATTTAATGTAAGAAACATATTTAAATATTCCAGGGCGTTCAGAAAAACTGTTAGCATGTCATTGCGACAAATTGCGGTCTATGATTTCGAGTTCATTTCCTCATACATTTATTCCGCCCCTTTTTGCTATTGAAAAAATGAGGAGTTCGTTGGAGATTGTGAAAACACGAAAACTTGAGGCATTTTAAAGAAGATGTATTGAAAAAGGTTAAAGGTACCCCGTCATACAAGGTAAACATTTACACCAGAGAAAAGTCATATGTGATTTCATTGTTATCTAAAAAGCAACAAACAAATGTCCTGATTCCACATCCAAAACGTATGCATATACATGTAGAGGCCGAGCGATAGCGATGACGTCATAGCGGAGATACGAATGTCATTTTCCAATGTTTTAAGTGCATGAATCTGCATGACAATGAAGTGATTATCCGTTATTCTCGGCGAATGGAAGACGTGAAATGGGATATTGTGTTGCGTTGAGGTGTACAAGTTCATCAAACAAAATTGCCGAGTGTCAGCGCTTCAAATTGCCAAGCGAAAAGGCCGATTTAGCGACGAGGAAAGTTTGGATTGAGCGATGTTAGCGAGGAGAAAGATAGAAACCGACTGGACATGCCTTTGGATGCGTGTATGCGTGTACACGTGTTAGTGAGGCGTATAAATGTACACGTGTTATTGAGGCAAAAATAAGTGTACGTGTCAGTGAGGTGAATACAGTTACAGGTGTAAGTGAGGCGTATAAATGTACACGTGTTAGTGAGGTATATGTATGTACACGTGTTAGTGGGGCGTATGCGTGTACACGTGTTAGAGAGGTGTATGCGTGTACACGTGATAGTGATGCGTATCTATGTACACGTGTTAGTGATGTATATGTATGTACACGTGTGTTAGTGAGGTGTATGTATGTACATGTGTTATTGACGCGTATGTATGTACACGCGTTAGCGAGGCGTATGCGTGTAAACGTGTTAGTGAGGTATATGCGTGTACACGTGTTAGTGATGCGTATATATGTACACGTGTTAGTGAGGTATATGTACGTGCACGTGTGTTAGTGAGGTGTATGTAAGTACACGTGTTATTTGAGGCGTATGCATGTACATGTGTTAGTGATGCGTATGTATATAAACTTGTTAGTGAGGTGAATACAGTTACATATGGTTACAGTGAGGTATATGTATGTACACGTGTTATTATGGCGTATCTATGTATACGTGTTAGCTAGGTGTATGCGTGCACAAGTGAGGCGTATGTATGTACAAGTGTTGGTGAGGCGTATGCGTGTAAACGTGTAAGTGAGGTGTATGCGTGTACACGTGTTGGTGATGCGTATATATGTACACGTGTTAGAGAGCTGTATATATGTACACGTGTTAGTGAGGCTAATGTATGTACATGTGTTAGTGTGGCGTATGTATGTATACATGTTAATGAGGAGTATGTATGTATACGTGTTAATGAGGAGTATGTATGTATACGTGTTAATGAGGCGTATGTATGTACACGGGTTAGTCAGGCGTATGTATGTATACGTGTTAATGAGGAGTATGTATGTATGTATACGTGTTAAAGAGGCGTATGTATGTATACGTGTTTATGAGGCGTATGTATGTACACGGGTTAGTCAGGCGTATGTATGTGTGCGTGTCAAGGAGGAGTATGTATGTATACGTGTTAAAGAGGCGTATGTATGTACACGGGTTAGTCAGGCGTATGTTTGTATACGTGTTAATGAGGAGTATGTATGTACACGTGTTAGTCAGGCGCGAATAACACCATCTGAACATTGGAATGTACATATACAATATACATACATTATTATAAGTTTTAGTTCAGGTATGTGTACCGTTGAGCAATAAGGTGTGCCTACACTTTGTGAGACACGTAAGTAAACACAAACAGGTATATGTAGTTTATACTACACAAACAGGTATATGTAGTTTATACCTCACGCTTCTGTAATAAATCTCCAAATGCTCACCTTCAGAAAACAGTTACACGTCTTAATGAGTTGTATATATGTACATGTGTTAGTGAGGTGTATGTATGGTACATGTGTTATTGAGGCGTATGTGTGAACACGTGTTAGAGAGGTGTATGCGTGTACACGTGTTAGTGAGGTATATGGATGTACACGTGTTAGTGAAGTGTATGTATGCACACCTGTTAGTGAGGCGTATGTATGTACACGTGTTATAGAGGCGTATGTATGTATACGTGTTAGTGAGGCGTATGTATGTATACGTGTTAGTGAGGCGTATGTATGTACGCTTGTTAGTGAGGCGTATGTATGTACACACGTCCTACTGACACGTATGTATGTACACATGTTAATGAGGCGTATGTATGTACACGTGCAAGTGAGTCGTGAATTAACACCATCTGAAAAATGGAATGTAAATATACAATATACATACATTATAAAGAGTTCTATTTCAGGTATGTGTACCGTTGAGCAATTAGGTGTGCCTACACTTTGTGAGACATGTACAGTAAACACAAACAGGTATATGTAGTTTATACTACACAAACTGGTATATGTAGTTTATACCTCAAGCTTCTGGAACAGATCTACAAATGCTCACCTTCAGAATCTGTTAAGTAGTTAAACTGTTAACTCAGCTGATATGCATTTTGTAAAGTGTAGTATGAGCGTGTTTTATACAATCAGTAGCTTGCTATAACGCTTTCCACACCAAGCTTTTACACACCAAGCTGAGAGTTGAATTAAGAGCCTTGATTTACATGATAATATTAAAGTGCAGTGTCTCAGTGTCGTGTGTGTGACTCTCTCTGACTTGTTGCTCGCGTTCCCTTTCAATGAAACTCAACACAGCAATGCACGGGGCTTTCGGCCATTAACTTTTGTCAGGATGTGAGAAGTATTGAAATAGCAGGCGAGTAGGGCTGGGATTCGCTATTGAATTCTAATTTCCATTGATAGTGACGGGTATACAATACTTTGGCGGGTCGGGTGAGAGGAAATCTCGGAGCGACTGTTACCAAACCAGGGACGGACATGAATGTTTGTTGATAACATTGTTACCGTGGATTAATCAACATCCGAGAAGCAGATAACTAACACGAAGTATGGAGCAAACAGAACTTGGTATCCTGATAACATTGACACTACTGGCGGTGTGGAGATTCCCTGCTGCAGGTCAGTGTTGTGACGTGTGTCAGTTGTTACAGACCCGCGCAATGTATTGTATCAATACTAGTTACATGTAGAGTACAAATGTCTCACGTGTCGTGTGTCTCATGTCATGAGCTCAAGGCAGTATCTGGAGCGAATGTATAACGGCTGGTAAATTAACTCAGATACTATCAACAACACTCTCATATTAGTTAACGTGAGACTATATTTTTATTGCAGCACTTTTGACCTCGATCCGACCTAAATATTAGTATGTGGCCATCAACGGAGAGTTTACTTTATGTTTTGTTTGTTGTTTTACGCCGCAAACAGCAGTATTCCAGCTTTATCAGAGAGCTTGTAAATGACAGCAACATAGAACAAAGGAAAAACAATAAATGAGTAAACCATTTATAGGTATTTGTGAAAGTTGTCAGATACCCTGCGTTTACTGAAGAAACATAACCCAATGACGATGATGGGGTTGGTTTGTTCCTCACATTCACCATCACAATGGTTTCCTTATATGATTGAAATAAGTGCAGAGGGGGAGTCTTTTGGTAATCTTTAATAATTTCGAAACAAAATGACCAAATGAGAAACAATGTTAAAGGAATAATTATATAAAACACATCAAAGAGCATTTTGAAGGCAACAGAAAACTGCAAATGAATATAGAAATGTAGAAATCTCTAATTTTAAGGCGTCATGACCATGCGAAGTTTTTTGTATATATTTAACGTTCACTTTCTACAAATATCTGCCACCATCTAGGATCTTTATTATTAGATGGTTCTGTATTTTAAATCTCCGTAAAAGGCGACTATGCTTGTCGTAAAAGGCGACTAAAGCCAGGATCGCTGACGTGGTTGATGCATGTCATCAATCCAAATTGCGTGGATCGATGTTCATGATGTCAATCACTGGATTGTCTGGTCCAGATTCCAGGTCCAGATTATTTACAGACCGCCTTCGTATGGCTGAAATATTGCCCTATGCGGGGTAAATCAAAACCAACCAACCAACCAAATCATCTCCATTTGCCGAAAACATATTGGCACACATATCGAGAACAGCTGGTATTACGGGGCAATAAATTTCCGGTCATTCACCAAGTAGACTGCAGACCCTAAGTGCCCTTGCCTCGTCTTTCGTACAAGTCATAAAACTGTTGTTGGTTTACGTGTAGGTCGGGACTAATAGCTTGTAGTCTCTAATTTGACGTTTCTCAAAGGGTTTGAGATATGTTTATGACTGCGACACCTCACACCAATACACAGTCCGGGGGCTGGTTCTAGGTAAAGGTCTGTAACTGCTATTGTGTGATCTGTGTAGTCGTCGTCGAGGAGGCGTGGTAAATGAGAATGTGACAGGGGTCCTGTTGTCGCAAGTCAATATCCAAAATATGGGCATATGTATAGCCCGTCAAATAAAATGCTGACTCAACATTTTATGCGTTTACCTTGTCACAATTAACCTCTGCAGTCTGAATACGTTACTTTGTCACACATATCCAACTTTCCAGTCTACAGATATGTTTGTGAAATTCAGCATGATAAATATAATAGATTATTGTCAGTTTGTACAATGAGCTTGGAAAATAAAAACGATAGTTACTGATTAAGTACAATGCTATTGCAATTTTATATTCAGTTTAGTATGAAGCTATTTGCTAGTTGTAAAATAGTATTAGGGGCGGATCAGCTACAGCTTCATTGATGTATGACTACAGAAAGCAGAGGATTAGCCAGTTTCAGTTCAGGTTCTCAACTGAACAAGTGCAGTATTTTGATATTCAAGAAGCACATTCACAGTATTGATTGAATGGTCTTTGAAATTTTCGTTCAAGATCGCTTTTTGAATTGCTTGTTGGAAAATCTTACCCTGTATATGTGTGTTTCTGTGAAGAAAATCAGTGTTTCAACAGTTCAGACTGGGGTTGGGGCAATGGGGTAGTCTGGTGATTAAGTTTCACTCCAAAGGTCCAGGTTAGATACCCCACAAATACATGTAGGTACAGTACGTGAATCCCACTTCTTGTGTCCTCAGTCGTGAGGTTGCTGGAATACAGCTAAAAGCGGCATAATTAACTCACTCAATCACTTGAGGGACCATATTTGAGGGGACCGTCTAATAATACTTCAAAAATACATTTTAAGAGTACTCTTGTCGTGTAACAGTCAAGTAGTTATTATTGTAATTCAAAAATGATACATGAAAGGTTTGCAAATTATGAAATATAATTAGGGCGTTCCATCAGAGACCAAATAATCTATTATATGGTCTCTGGTTCCATTTTATTCTGATATGTAAATGTTACCAGATTTCAAGGGCAGAATGTGAGAAGATCTTACATCCTCTCCATCAAACAACTGTACAGCATCTGTCTATGACCATTGTTAAAGCCAGCATCTAAAACAATCGTTGTGAAATATATAATTGTGATCCTTGAACTTTCACTCAACATTTTCCTGTTGTATCATGGGCCGGATCATGGTCTCAGATTGAGACTGAGTTGTCATACTTTGGAAATTTAGAATGGACGTCATTATAAAATCCCAAGAAATTAAAGAAAATGCAAACTTTGTAAATTAGACTGTGTTGAAACCGAGTATCGCTTCCTGCTTATTTGTCCATCGTATGTCAAGTTACGGCAACTATATCGCAAAGCAAAGTTCTATTGTCATCCTAACGTCCATAAATTTAATTTGCTTCAGTCATCACCAGATACATATATTATTACAAATCTAGCAAAATATCTATATCGTGCAAATGAAGTAAGAAATGCGAAACTGAAAGCTTAAAACCTGTCTGTACTCAACTTTTGTACACAAAGGCATGTGGCCAATATGTATTGGAAATGAAATGAATGAATGAGATCATTGGCCTGTGGAACTGAATATCAGTTCTCTATTCTACTTAACGATGAAAGGTAAAACTGTTTACGATGTCGACTGACATGTGTTGATGGTATTACAAATACGTCTTTACATGAAGTCATTTGGTTTCGTCTAGTGTGCTGTGCATTCCATAGGCTCAAATTCGGTCACATTACGATAACAATTTGCTATAATAAATAGAAAAGATATCGTTCTTGTTAAATCGAATGGGTGCATTCCAGTGGTGCGGCCATTGCTCGACATTGTGATGTGTTACATGCTACATTTGTTGTCCTGTTATGGATGTAAAAGCGGCACCGATTTCTTCAAAAGAAGATGTTGCACTTCCAATCAAAATGTAGAGACAGTAAAGTAACCTAGTGAAAAGCGATGGACTAGACTAACATCTAGTCTCTGAAATAAAATATATTACATGAAAAAAAAAGTTATTAAATTACAGTTATAACATTAACATATACTACAAAGAAGACCAGGGTCTTCCTTCATTTCCTGATACAGCAGTAATCTAGACTTGCCAAATATAATGGACTTGCATGGGCTATTTTGGATATATTTGTTTCAGGGTCTGTATGACAGACTAAGCGAGGGATATCCCATTCAAAAACCGGTGTTCGATTCCTACTTCATTAAAATGTGTGAAGCCTTTTTCGGTGTTCCACTTCCGTGATGCTACTGGAATGTTGCTAAAAGCGGCGTAAAATCATACTTGTTAACTCACTAAGTCGCAAGATGATAACTCGTTGTTTCGTTTCTTCCCCAGGTGTGGGTATCTGCAGTAACGGGAACACAGCAGATAACGACATCACCTTGAATCTGTCCACGGCGGTTTCCGGCGAAGTGTGTTGCTGCAGTTACACAGTAGCCATGGATACACAATGCACAAATCTCTCATCTTTCATAGAATACGACTGTAGCATCAATGTCTCTTTAGAATATCCCCCAATTCCTGCATGTGGAGCTGTAGGTAGCTGGTCAAGTGGTTGTGTCACGGACACGAACAAAGACTACTCAATATGTGTCAGTCGTACTACCAGTGGACCCGTCCAGCTGGGAAATATACGTCTCAAAAGTGAAGGTACATACTAGTTTGTTTATTAGTCTCATGCACAAACATACTAGTTTGTTTACTACTCGGACCGCCTCCGTGGTATAGTGGGAGAGCGTCCGCCCGGAGAGCGGAAGGTGCGGGGTTCGATCCCCGACCGCGTCATACCAAAAGACGTTAAAAGATGGTACTTGTTCTTACCCTGTCTGGCGCTCGGCATTAAGGGGCTAAAACAAGGACTGGTCGGCTTGGAGTCAGTATACTGTGTCTGAGTGGGGTATTCATGTTAAACTGCGGCATGGTATCTCAGTGGACTAGCACTATAAATCGGCATCAGTCCGGACGAGTACATGCATGTACATACTATTCCTTATATATTAGTTTGATTCAGGTACATACCGGTGTCTGTTTATTAGTTTAATACAGCTGCAGGTATATGGCAGTGTTTGTTTATTAATCAAATACATATATATTTATTCGTTAGTATATTGCAGGTACACAGAAGTGTATATTTAATAACATAATACATAACTGGTGTTTTTTATTTGTATGTTACAGGTTAATACCAGTTTATATGTATCTAGTACAGATTCATTCTGGTGTAAATGTATGTCTAATACAGGTACATTCTAGTGTTATATATTTGTCTAATACAGATACATTCTAGTGTTTTATATTGGTCTAATACCGGTACATTCTAGTGTTTATATATTGGTCTAAAACAGGTACATTCTAGTGTTATATATTGGTCTAATACAGGTACATTCTAGTGTTTATCCATTTGGCTAAAACAGGAACATTCTGGTGTTTATATATTTGTCTAATACAGGTACATTCTGGTGTTTATATATTTGTCTAATACAGGTACATTCTGGTGTTTATATATTTGTCTAATACAGGTACATTCTAGTGTTATATATTTGTCTAATACAGGTACATTCTGGTGTTTATATATTGGTCTAATACAGGTACATTCTGGTGTTTATATATTTGTCTAATACAGGTACATTCTAGTGTTTTATATTGGTCTAATACAGGTACATTCTAGTGTTTTATATTGGTCTAATACAGGTACATTCTAGTGTTTTATATTGGTCTAATACAGGTACATTCTAGTGTTTTATATTGGTCTAATACAGGTACATTCTAGTGTTTTATATTGGTCTAATACAGGTACATTCTAGTGTTTTATATTGGTCTAATACAGGTACATTCTAGTGTTATATATTTGTCTAATACAGGTACATTCTAGTGTTTTATATTGGTCTAATACAGGTACATTCTAGTGTTATATATTTGTCTAATACAGGTACATTCTGGTGTTATATATTTGTCTAATACAGGTACATTCTAGTGTTTATATATTGGTCTAAAACAGGTACATTCTAGTGTTTATATATTTGTCTAATACAGGTACATTCTGGTGTTTATATATTTGTCTAATACAGGTACATTCTAGTGTTTATATATTGGTCTAAAACAGGTACATTCTAGTGTTTATATATTTGTCTAATACAGGTACATTCTGGTGTTTATATATTTGTCTAATACAGGTACATTCTGGTGTTTATATATTGGTCTAATACAGGTACATTCTAGTGTTTTATATTGGTCTAATACAGGTACATTCTAGTGTTTTATATTGGTCTAATACAGGTACATTCTAGTGTTTTATATTGGTCTAATACAGGTACATTCTAGTGTTTTATATTGGTCTAATACAGGTACATTCTAGTGTTTTATATTGGTCTAATACAGGTACATTCTAGTGTTTTATATTGGTCTAATACAGGTACATTCTAGTGTTTTATATTGGTCTAAAACAGGTACATTCTAGTGTTTATCCATTTGGCTAAAACAGGTACATTCTGGTGTTTATATATTTGTCTAATACAGGTACATTCTGGTGTTTATATATTTGTCTAAAACAGGTACATTCTGGTGTTTATATATTTGTCTAATACAGGTACATTCTGGTGTTTATATATTTGTCTAATGGAGGTACATTCTGGTGTTTATTTATTTGTCTAAAACAGGTAGATTCAAGTGTTTAACTATTCGTCTTATACACAAATGTTAATTATAATAATATAATTATAATTATTGTTAAAGGGCGGTTTCGCATTGTGAAAAACAACTTAAGGAATTATCCGAACTGATCCCCTACCGCGACATATACTGCCACGGAAATGCAATTTAACTCATGTCAGTTTTAACAAATACAACTGGACTGGCATCTTAACGGGCACATCGTTCTTTTCACGTGAGGCCCCTCGTGAATATGTTTACTATCACCCTATGCAACTGAATCGGAGAGAGTGTTCGTGTGGTTTTATACTGTGTGAAAACGAGACAAGTTTTCTGAAAGAGCAAATGTTTAACAACTTGGTGACCTCACTGCCGACATTTCTCTATGTGTAAATGAATTATATACATCATCGTAATAAACTGACTCTGTTTCAGCTCTGGTGAACCTCACATGCAATTACAGTGAACCTCAGAGGACAAGCGGTATGTTACCTTAATACTCACTGGCACACTATATATATATATAGTAATAACTAAATAAGAGGAGTAAGATTGAACATAGTTTTAATTGGCTAGCGCTTTCAACTCGTACCGCGTACGAGTCTCATCAGGCCATAACCGAATAACGGACATGAAAATAACATAAGTTACTACTTCATGTCAGATCTCATTATTCTGACATGGAAGTATGAAAAATAATAATATCCTTTACCCCTCCAGCTCCTCCTGCAACGGCAACACCGGAGGACAATACATTGACAGGTGAGATGGGGTGTGGGAGGTATATTAGTGTACTTCAGAAAATCACGATGGGGGCACGCTGTGGAAAGATCACTGAAAATCAAAGAAAGGTCTCTCGTTAAATTAACCTTAATGCTAACAGTGATTTGGGTTCCGATTTGATTTATTGTCAATCTCTCTTAACAAATGGAGAGGGCACGGGTGGCCAAGTCGTCTAAGGCGCCGCGATTCGCTGTGCAGAGTTGCGTCCCTTGGGCACGCCAGAAACCTATTATTGTGGTTTCGAATCCCGGTTCGCCCTGATTATGTTTCTAGGTTTGTCAGCACCATACCCGTGCTCGTTGGTTTCGCCGAAGTGGTAAACGTGTGAGACCTGCATCACTTCGGGCTTTCCTCCCACATTAAGCTGACACGCCGTGATATAACTGGAAAACTGTTAAACTAGGCGTTAAACCAAACTCACTCACTAACAATTGGAACCCAGGCCGTTTTGTTTGTTTGTTTAACCCCGCACTGAGCATTATTCCAGCTATATGACAGCTGCCTGCTTCTAGACCAGACAATCCAGTGATCCACGCCGTCGGGGTATGATGACACGCAATCAACCAGGTTACTGACCCTGACTACCCGATCCGTTTAGTCGCCTCTTACGACCCGGATAGGAAGCTGGGGCCCGACTATTAATGTACATGTATTTCAAACGATCAAAACGCACGGTCAACTTATTTCGATCAAAACCTTATTACAGTTAAGTTTGCATAAAACAATAATTTCCTGATTATTCCCACAGATGGGGCTATCATTGGGATCGTGGTTGCTGTATCGGTCGTCATCGTCGCCGTCGTCTGTTTAGTATTGTAAGTTAAAATATATTTAAATGGAAATATTAATAATTTCTTACAATTATATCATATATCAATCGACATATTTATTTAATTTATTACAGAAAATAAGATTTATGACAAATGTTATATTTGGGATGTACACTTTCTTAGTAAAGTACAGATTCTCGGACTTTTTTGGGGTTGAGTCCCGTTCGGGATTCGAACCCACACTTGCCAGAGTGAGGCACCTAATCACTTAATCGCCAGCACACAAAATCATTGTGTATTTAATGAAAATAAAATTGTTTCCATTTAGCTACAAAAACTGACACAATGACCCCACCTGTATTAATATTTTATTTTGAGCCTTCTGATTGTAGACTATTTTGTTTGAACGGCCATTAAGGATGAATAATATTCTGCGTGAAAATGGGCGTCACATATTGTATCCATGATGAGGATGTAACCGGGTCCTTCAGCGTGACCTACGACCGCTTTAACCGTTAGGCTACCTCACAGCCCATTAATTACAATAGAAATGTGCAACAAAATCGCTCACAACTGGAAATGTACTTTAATGCATTAGCGTCATTCGTCTTTCAGAGCGCGAGTAAAGCTGAAGGCTAAAAACCAGGACAGGGACAACATCAGCACCATCCACGCCGACAGTCTGTTCGGCGACGATGGCAATGACGTCATAATGCCTACAACCACTCATGCCAAACGTGGGGCAGATAACTCCGGGTACTACCAGGGCGCTGCCGCCAAAAAGACTGGTGTCCGAGTACCCAAGAAGCAACTACTACGGGTAGATACCTACTTGGAAGACCAAAACGGAAAGTCGCCATTCGGTCAAGTACCGAAAACGTCCAAGACGAACAAAGAAGAGGCCAACTTTGTTTATTAGTAAAGAATGCGTGAAATTACACAAAGAAGCAGCAACTATGATGTGCCATAGCACCTTCTTGGGGTGTATCGGTGATATATTAGTGTATAGGAAGTTCCTTAATATGCTTGATATCTGCAATTGGTAAATGCGTTTACGCGCGGCAGCCACATACACCGCGCCTTATTCATTGAGGGACTACCACGTAGTATCCTGGGTAAGGTTGGGAGATTTGTTGGAAACATTGTTGAGGTCACTGCTTCAAGAAACACAATGTTTCTGTAAAGAAAGAAACGGAATATCTTTTTCACAACCCATTTGTAACATACAGGATATCTAACACGCAAAATGTATTTTTCACAAGTTTTTTACTTAACAACTGATTTTGTTTTAAAAAAACAGCCCCCCCCCCCCCCCCCCCACACACACACACACACTGACACCACACACACACACGCACACACACTCAACCCTCCCCGCACCACACATGCACACACAACACTCAAACAACACACACACAACCCTCCCCACACACACACACACACAACCCTCCCCCCCCCACACACACACACTCAAACAACACACACACAACCCTCCCCCCCCCACACACACAACCCCCCCCACACACACACACACACTGACACCACACACACACACACACGCACACACACACACACAACCCTCCCCGCACCACACATGCACACACAACACACACACAACACACACACACACAACCCAAATCAGGAATAGATTGTGTGTAATGTAGTATGGATGTGAGGACTATCTATATAATCTCCTGCAAACATTCATTGTTTGACAATTAACTGCAGCTGTGGTTGAGGAAGGGAAGTGTAGACACGTGTGGCCATTACGCCTGCAGGAAACCTTACCTATAATAGAGCTGAAGTACACAGCTATCCAACTAGCTGATAATATAACGTCGATAGTGGACAACACGTGTTGTTATGACTAGAATATCCACACTATGCATGAAGGTCTGTCGTGACTGAAAGTAGACGATTAGCTGAATTTAACATGTATGTGATTGTAACACTTGATATGACAGCAAATGGGACGCGGAAGGTTATGAACAAAGCCATTAGTAGGACACACGTGCGTACAATGAATAGCATAACTTTATTCACAGATTGTCCATTGTATCAACTGGGTGCGTGCCAGGTATTACTCATGCACATATGCAGAGTAAACACAAACAACCAGGTCACCGTTCCACAAAGTGACGTTAGCGCTGAGGCGAGCGTAACTCCCATGCTTTAACATAGGCTTACGATAGCGCTAAGATCAATTTAAGGAACGAGGTCCATGACACCATTGCATATATACCAGTGAGTGAGTAAGTGAGTTCATGAGTGAGTGAGTGGTCATGAGTGAGTGGTCATGAGTGAGTGAGTGAGTGGTCATGAGTGAGTGAGTGGTCATGAGTGAGTGAGTGAGTGGTCATGAGTGAGTGAGTGAGTGGTCATGAGTGAGTGAGTGGTCATGGGTGAGTGAGTGAGTGAGTGATTGGTCATGAGTGAGTGAGTGGTCATGGGTGAGTGAGTGAGTGGTCATGAGTGAGTGAGTGGTCATGGGTGAGTGGTCATGAGTGAGTGAGTGGTCATGAGTGAGTGAGTGGTCATGAGTGAGTGGTCATGAGTGAGTGAGTGAGTGAATGAGTGAGTGAGTGGTCATGGGTGAGTGAGTGAGTGAGTGATTGGTCATGAGTGAGTGAGTGGTCATGGGTGAGTGAGTGAGTGGTCATGAGTGAGTGAGTGGTCATGAGTGAGTGGTCATGAGTGAGTGAGTGGTCATGAGTGAGTGAGTGGTCATGAGTGAGTGAGTGATCATGAGTGAGTGGTCATGAGTGAGTGGTCATGAGTGAGTGAGTGAGTGAGTTGGTGAGTGAGTGGTCATGAGTGAGTGAGTGGTCATGGGTGAGTGAGTGAGTGAGTGGTCATGAGTGAGTGAGTGGTCATGGGTAAGTGAGTGAGTGGTTATGAGTGAGTGAGTGGTCATGTGTGAGTGGTCATGAGTGAGTGAGTGAGTGAGTTGGTGAGTGAGTGGTCATGAGTGAGTGAGTGAGTGGTCATGAGTGAGTGAGTGAGTGGTCATGAGTGAGTGAGTGAGTGGTCATGAGTGAGTGAGTGAGTGGTCATGAGTGAGTGAGTGGTCATGAGTGAGTGAGTGGTCATGAGTGAGTGAATGGTCATGAGTGAGTGAGTGGTCATGAGTGAGTGAGTGGTCATGAGTGAGTGAGTGGTCATGAGTGAGTGAGTGAGTGGTCATGAGTGAGTGAGTGGTCATGAGTGAGTGAGTGGTCATGAGTGAGTGAGTGGTCATGAGTGAGTGGTCATGAGTGAGTGGTCATGAGTGAGTGAGTGGTCATGAGTGAGTGAGTGAGTGAGTGGTCATGAGTGAGTGAGTGAGTGAGTCAAATATGTTCCAACTATATCCTGGTGGCCCGTTATTATTAATAGAATTTGTACCCAACAAACCGATGGTTGATATTATGATCAACGCCTTACACCGCGGGGGGTAATAATACACACAATCCGTCAAGTCACCAAGTCACTAAGCCTGACCACCTATTCATTTAGTCGACTTTTATGACAAGAATCGGTTCCTGGAGACCAAATGCATCCCAGAAATATTTTTTGTGAAGGACATGCATCGAATAAGCTGCATTCGACAAACACGTCTTGTGTGCATGAAGTTTGTAGTGTTTGACAGGTGCACATAAAATGATGTTTCAAGTAGCGAATAAGCACACGTATATACCCTTAACATTGAACATTGGGCATGGCGCCGCATTTCGACGTGCAGAGTTGCGTCCCTTGGGAACGTCAGAAACCTGTGATTGTGGGTTCAAAATCCCGGTTCGCCCCGATTATGGTTATAGTATTGTCTGAACGATACCCATGCTTGTGGGTTTCACCAAACTGGTAAGCGTCTGAGACCTGTATCACCTCGGGCTTTCCTCCCATATCAACTGACACGCCGTAACTAAAGGACTGTTAGTAGCTCCGTTAAACCCAACTCACTCACTTATATTGCACATCTAACATGGTATTGGTGAAATACTGTCATAGGAAGGGATACTAATGTATATGCTAATGATGTTTATTGCAGTCCGCTGTGACACTGTGTTGATATAGTGCGGCATGTCAGTGATACATTTTTGTAATTTCATCAAAACTTAGTTTTATAAATAGATTTAGTTATTTCGGTACAGGCCCACTTGAAGCAAATATATATGAATGTGCAATAAAGTATTTAGATGAATGAGAACTGTTTTTGTATATATTTCGACAGAATTTGATACAGATACTCATATATAGATATATAGATACACAGTTATATCACAGTAGAGGGTTATCAGTAACAACAATTGCATACATGAGTGGGATAACATGAGTAAGTAATGACAACAGAAGGATAATACTGTCACAACATGATGGACAGGGAACGCACTGTTAATCCTCCTACTTCTGTATATACTCTGTACAACGCTCCTCATTCAGTCTTGCTTGACAACGGTGTAAGGATCTATACCGAAACGTCGCCTTTACAGTATTAAAGAAGTTGTTATCCATAAATTGTGTCTACTTTTTCATCTGTTAACTTCTAAGCAATACCTATTTAACAATATAACAACGGTTTGTAAATAATCGTGTCGCAGGCAATTGCAGTATCCATGTGACCGTGTTACAATCAAACTCATGATCAGTCATCAGATAGCGCGAGATACTGGGTCCTATTCTTCCCTGCAATGCCAGGGGATAAAGTGGAGTTATTTTGTGTTATGTTATGTTACGACATATACAAGTCCTGGATTCGCCTCCAAGATCAGGTGGGCGGTCGGGTAGCCTGTTGTTAAAGCGTTCGCTCGTCACGCCGAAGACCCGGGTTCGATTCCCGACATGGGTACATTGTGTGAAGCCCATTTCTGGTGTCCCCCGCCGTTATATTGCTGGAATATTGCTAAAAGCGGCGTAAAAGCATACTCACTCACTCACTCTGAGATCAGGTACGGGAGTTTAGGTGAGGTAAGTTGAGATGGTTCGAGATTATTGCACTTTCAGTCAAGTCCCGTTAATCCGACATCGGTGGTTGCATATGATTATGTCGGATTAACGAGTATGTCGGATAAACGAAATTTAGTAGAAATTGAGAACTTGTATCTGATTTTAATAAGATTGAGGTAATCTAAGCATGTGAATTATCCTGTTTTCTTTATTTAAAGCATTAATTGTTTATTGTTAAGCAGGTTTATCTCTGCAGCCGTTGTAATATGCAGCTACCAGCCGACTCGTCTCGCATCATACCACTGACCTCCCGTCCTCCAGGCAGACTCTCTATCCACAATATCACAGAGGCGGTCCGCTAAGTAAAGAATGATAACCCTATTGTCTCTGAACCCTACTCCCTATTGCGAATAATATAAATGCCATACCATAAATACCAGTTCACCCTGTTAGCCTATCAAAACAGATAGTTCCCACTTTGCCCAGTGCTTATTTCAGCAGACACATCAAGTTCGTAAAATGGACCCGTGAAGATTCCGGGGTAGAATAGGTCTTCAGCAACCCAGGCTTGCCGTAAAAGGTGACTATGCTTGTCGTAAAAGGCGACTAACGGGATCGGGTGGTCAGGCTCGCTGACTTGGTTGATGCATGTCAGCGAACCCAATTGCGTGGTTCGATGCTCATGACATTAATCACTGGATTGTCTGGTCCAGACTCGATTATTTACAGACCGCCGTCATATAGCTGGAATATTGCCGAGTGCGGCATTAAACAACAAACCAACCAACCAACCAACATAAATGGTAATAAAATAATGATGTGTGACACATGCGATATAAAATCCACACCAGCAGGTGGATCCTGCGCGTGGCATCGGAAGCGGCCGTAAAATTATTTGAACCTCGTAGCAGATGTTTATACGAGCTTAAAGTATGTGAACCATCAGTGATTACAGCACAAGGCATTTACTGATTGAAATCTTGACCTCTAATAGCCTGGTGATCCTGGGGTATCATGCAGGAAGCCGAAGTACTGTAAGTCCCCATGATCCCCAGCCAGGTGACCTAGCTTTGGTTGCTGGTGGCCTATAGCCCGTGTTTTAAAACTGTATACATTATATTGTTGTGCTCAAATCTGTTTCATAAATTGTTTTTAAATATAGTATGCTCAAATATGTTTCACAACTTGTTTTTAAATAAAACTTTGCATAATTAGCTTAATTGTAAGTAGATTAACTTGGTCTCGTCGCTATATGGCTGAAATAATGCCGATGCGACGTTAAATTTTAACTCACTCACTCATAGCCTGGTGATATAATAGAGTGAGCGAGGTAGATGGGCGCCGCTTTGAACAGAATTATGGTTATGTATCGGCGTGTCAGAAAACGTGCGAGGAAAACCCAAAGTGTTGCATGTCCTCAAATATGGCGGCATCCACCAGCAATATGGTCCTGACGGAACAAGGATCATAAATAGGGTTCGAACCGACAACGACCAGATCATTTAATCGAATACGTATATTTGAATAATTAATGTAGCATCCTTTCTAAAAAAATATCATGTTTAAGTATAATACTGTTAGTATGCAGGGATCTGTGTGGTGCAAACAGGCTCATCATACTGGGTCTAATGTAAATTGTATGGTCTTAACACATTTGAAGTAAAGACTGAAGGAGCGAGAACCATAGTAACGACAACGCATGTACAGCTATATGTCAAGAGCATAGAGATCTGGTTTTGTATTTTTAAACCGGTTTAACAATCGCAACGAACACAAGAAGATCCTGGTTAAAATTCATCTTCAGCAACCCGTGGATCGTGTGGTCTGGCTCGCTGACTTGGTTGATGCATGTCACCGTATCCCTACTGTGTAGCTCGATGCTCACGGTGTCAACCAGTGGATTGCCTGGACTCGATTATTTACAGACTGCCGATATATAGCTGGAATATTGCTGAGTGCGGCGTTAAATATCAAACAAAAAGCAAACAAATACTCGCACCGACGTCCATGTAACACAACCACTTCAATGTACAGCGACACCTTACGGTTTACGGGGGGCAGGGAAACGGAAGAAGGATATCCATATGCGAGGTCATAGGAAAACTCCTCATGTCACTGTGCATTCAAATTGGTAGCCGATAGTGTTCCTGCAGTGTTAGTATTTCAGCATTGATATTCATGACCAGAACATACATCTGCCCTTCCTGGTTGCACCTGCATAGAAGTCGCCCCTTTTATCGTCTGTAGGGTCAGCGTACCCGCATTTGTACTACATAATACTGGTAATAAACACAAGGCGAAAAAACCAATTCCATAAACATAAGAAATATAATCCCAAGGTAGAGTCTCGTTTACAATTACGACCACATGTGTTCATGTTTCATAGTAATGATACCTGGTGTTCACGAAAAGCCCCACCGGTTGCACCCCTCATATGATATAAGTGAAGGGAGATTTATTGAGTTTAAAATGTTTCAGTTTCATCGGACATTGTCAGCTTAACATGGGACGAAAGGTCGTTGATGTTTCTCTCTTCAGTGAAACCCACAAGCATGTTCCTGAACAAGCAAGTTGAAATTTCGGGACGAATCTTGGACTTGATAAGTGGGCCAAGGCAGTTAAAATCGCGCACGCACACACACACACACACAAACACACGCACACACACACACACACGCGCACGCACGCACGCACGCACGTACGCACAGGCACACGCACACGCACACACACACGCTTATTAGTTAATGCATTGTATCGTAATAGTCTTGCATCGCATCCTAGTCTAAAAATGATGCTTTATCTTGTGAGAGGGGGGCCAGTGTAGGACGCACGTAGAATCAGCCATACGGAACATAAAAGGGTGCAGATAGGGTTATCTTGACATACGGCACATGTACTCCAGTACCCGTTTTTCAACTGTTATCAAGGCCTCTAAAACATTACACTGTGTTCAGTGGGCAATAACCCTGAAAATGGCTTCCCGTTCGATTTACTACGAAAGATACAGTCTGGCATAACGAGGCTTCACTGTACATGATTGTGGGATTTCAGACTGTACACAAAGGCCAGACTGGTCATCATGCAAAGAGTTGTTAAACCCACTGAGGCATATACACGAGACGGGTATCGAGTATCACAGAACCATCTACGTCCTGGTTGTAGGTGAATATCACCCTGAGTATTTCACCCCAGAGAAGTACATCTAAATTAAGTTTATCATGGACGTCTTGTTGACTCTCGTTTTCCTCTCACTGCCGTCAGTAAGCTCAGGTAAGAATTCACGGGTATGTTACCTAATATAATGTGTAATGGGAGCTCAGTCAAGCATTACGATTTAAGTATCTATGAGACACATTAGCCATTGTGTTTGACATCAGTATTTGTTCCCCAACCGGTTAGAAATAATCAAGTTCATAAAATAGTAAACCTTCACCGTTGTATTGTTTACGTCATCCGAAGCAGTATTCGAAATAGACATCGGTCCGTAGGATTTGTCCTCGGGATGAGAGTTTCAAATTTCACTTTATTTTAAGCTGTAAACATCGTAAATAAATCATAACACTGAGATTGCTTGGTGAAACAGGGTCCAGCTTCAAAGTACGAGGGGCGGTCGGGTAGTCTAGTAGTTAAAGCGTTCGCTCGTCACGCCGAAGACCCGGTTTCGGTTCCCGACATGCGTACAATGTGTGAAGCTCATTTCTGGTGTCCCCCGCCGTGGTATTGCTGGACTATTGCTAAAAGCTGCGTAAAACCATACTCACTCACTGAAAGTACTTTCAACACCACAGGCTGTTGTACCGGCCGCACCGTAGCCACGTCAAAATAATATGTTGTTTCATAAACCTACCTGTCATATCATTTATTTAAATCTATCACTTTTCACAATGTCTGCAAATATGTACTTCATTTCAATTTACCATATTTTATCAATAGATTTAAAATTATGAATTATTTCCCGCAATGTTATTGAAAATGAAAATCTGGGACACATGCTTCGACAACGGGTCCAAATCAAACATGTCAAAGAGCAAACCAAGGACGTTTCAAGCAAATCGTAAATAAATTAAGTGGTCAAATCGCCAGTACACAAAGTCAGCGATCTAACCCACTCAGCCGGACTTTCATTTTGTGGAAGCCTCGGTGGCTGAGTAGGTTAGATCGCTGACTTTGAGTGCTGGCGATAAGTTAGTTCCTCACTCTGGCAGTGTGGATTCGAATCTCGGATGCATGAGACTCAACCCCAAAAACAATATCATTAAAATCAGACCTCAGTTCTCGCTACCGCAAAACAAAGATCTGAGGACATCCCATTAGGGGTCACGTCAGAACGACCTTTCATCCGACCAATCAGAGCATCACTTACCAGATTATGAAAGTGACAGTCGGAATGGGATTTCTAATCATGCAACCTCGAAAACTTTAACTGCCAAAGAAAGTTACAGGTTTAACGCCTGAATTCATACAATCTAGACCATCTATTAGCCACACAGAATGTTCTTTTGTTCAGGTTTCAAATTTGTAATCGAGAATTTGTCAAAATATGTTTCGAAACGTAGTCGCCAATTTGAAATTAGTGCCGTAAAGCATGAGAAAGCTGCCTTCTGATTGGTCATTCCATTGGTCGGTCAAAGTTCGCTCAAGGTCGGTCTGACGTGACCCGTAATGGGATGTCCTCAGATCTTTGTTTAGCTGTAGCAAGAACTAAGATCTGATTTTAATGAGATTGCCCTAAAAAGTACGAGAATCTGTACTTTACTGTCATCCTAAAGATAACATGTGTTACCTCTAAGTAACACTTTCCACCTTTTCGTGAGATCGTGTAATATAAGTCAAATGACATGTCTGCATTTGTCGCCTCGGTTTTCGGCTCGAACACGATGTTTATTGCCAAAATACATGCTTGAGAAATCTTTGTCTTTCGTCTAAATCTTAAAAGTAAATCTGAATACGAAAATACCAATTGCGAGGTTACTGTAATATTACTGATGTTCTTACGATACCAAACATCGAACGAATCTTCGCACATGTTATTTATACAAAGCTTCGAAAACGTTGGTATTTAAAGGGTATTTGTCATGCCACTGAGCGGAAGGCCACTCTAATCGGGACATATGTGATGATAGATCGTACTTAAACTTCGTTTTTTATCATTTTCTGATTACTTTAACAATGAAAATAAAAAAGAAAGAAGTCAGTGGATAGCTCTATTATGAAATGTTAATGTTGCCGAAAATCGCCATAATTTTGGCTTCCTTGGTGCTTAACCTCGACGATATGTATGCGTCAGCTTAATTATTTCATTAAAAACGAACTTAATTTATTCAATAATGTATTAATGAAATAATGTGATAAACATAACTGTCATATTTATAAACAGTCGGATTTGACCTTTCACATGGTGTTTGCCATGAAGTAGCAAAGGTGTTTTACAAGCTGATAATTTCCTTCATAACTGTAGGCTTCATCTATCACCACTGAGTCTCTGGGAAGTCGGTGTGATCGCAGTAAAAGCTTCTGATCTGGTTGACTGGCAGTGTTTTGTAGTTTAATATGCAAGAGAATGTCTGTCTTGTCCACTAAAATGTTTGGGCCTACAGGTTTTGAAATGTGCTGGCCCTTAAGGCTCTCATTTTACTCGACGTGTAGACGTCATTTGACAATTGGTCGTGATCAGTGCATTTTTCAGAGGCTCAAAAGAATTAAGAAATAATGGGTAATTAAGAAATGATTGCATTCGTATGTGCGTCATACTGATTTTACGAAACTCTTGTAAGACTTGGTGTGTTACCCTCGACTCGCTCGGGAAATACAAGAGCTCTGACACTCACGCTCGTATGATAATCTCTATGTAATTATTTTCTACTGATGCCACCTAGACATTAGGTTATCTATCTATGTGTGATCTGTCTATAAACATGTGAGTAGATGTCCGAGTTGCCCATAAAGACCCCGGATAGTTTGCACATTTTATTTGTTGAACGAGTTCATTGCAGTACCCATGTTAAGTATACTATACCATTTAAGAATCCTTCTTGTTGTTTTGTCGGGGAATACAATATTCATGTACCCTACCGCCGAGTCCGAAACATTCATCTGTTCGAGACTATTGCGGTTCTTACATTATTAGAAGTACCACACCACACGATGAACATTCACTTACCAAATGATGTAATATTCCGTCATATATTCTGGTATATATTTCTTTTATTTTTTCCGGTTACGTGGTATATATATATTGTGGCAACATGCTTTGATTAAGGGCAGACACTGCGTAATAAGGACGATCATTTCTACTATAACCATGGTAGAACACTATAGCGATCACCTGATTATGTGTTCAAGAAAGAGGTTAGCTAAATGGCTGAGATCTTGCATTTAATGTACCTCACTGACTTACATCACCGAAGTTACATAGTAATAGCAATAGAATCAGATGTTTTACTGGATACGATACCTTGCTCTGTGTACATCTGAGATAGCAGGTCGCGAGAGGTGAACTTTCAGAGCAGTCAATCAGCGTCGAGGCTTTCACATTCTTGATATCAATGACAAAAGCATTCAGACAAGCATACCTGGTTTCGAAAACGAATATAATAGAGGAGTTCCGACTGCAGAAACGGTAACTCCGTGATATTACCTTCTTGTAGATAACATCCTGTCCTTTCTGAGCACCATGACATCTTGACCCAGAAGGGTGCTATCGACGGTACGTTTGTTTTCTGTGGTGGTTTTATTTGGGGAGAACAAAATTTCCAAATCGAGGTGGTAAAGAAAATACGTCTTAGAAAGTTTACATGTGACTGACTTCAGAACTCTCGATTCCTTCATGTTCATTGGACCTCAACGGCGATGTGGGGCGGTCGGATAGCCTAGTGGTTAAAGCGTTCGCTCGTCACGCCGAAGACCCGGTTTCGATTCCCGACATGGGTACAATGTGTGAAGCTCATTTCTGGTGTCCCCCGCCGTGATATTGCTGGACTATTGCTAAAGGCGGTGTAAAACCCCACTCACTCACCCACTCACTCAATGGCGATGTATCGAAGCATAAAAATATTGACTACAGTCAGATTGATAAACATTAAACAAATTGTGTGTGGCTACGGGATGGTTATTGTCGTATATCAAATTATTTAAGACACCGTTAATCATCTAACAACTGAATCGTTTTATGATATAAGCATATTTAGAACCTGTGACATATTAATAGTATGTGGTTTTGTAAGTACATTTGTAAATGAAGCGGCATGTGACAATAATACAAAATACATGTCTGTGTTTCTGCTGTTTGTGTAATTGAAGTACTGTAACTGCAGGGTGTGGCAATTAAATCACAACGGTTAATTTATTGTCAAGGTCTACAGACCTGCTCCTCTGGGACTGAGACCAGTTCTAACCAAATCATACTGGACGTGTCTACAACACAGATCAACAGATTGGGAGGCGTGTGTTCCTGTAGACTGACTGTGTCACAGATCAACACTGGGGCAGAGACAGATGTGGAGATGTTCCCTAATGGCTGGACACAGGGGTGCGATACATACATGACTATACCGAAGTGGAGCACGGGGACACAGTGTACAAATGGCGTTGTTCAAATTCCACCTGCACAGTCTCACACCGTCACGACTGATGATGAAGTACGGATACTGGTGGTGGCTTTACTTCCTGGAACCAGAGGATTGTCAGGACAGCTGCAGTTTAAACTTAAGTCATCATTAGGTGAGAGTAATAAAGGGATAATATTTAGAGGGTTAAAAAGCAATCGAAATTATAAGGTTGTTTTGCCATCAAAGAGGCATGTGTAATGTTCATTTTGACATTGTATGTATGTATTCTCTATTAGAACAGGAACCTCAGGGACCTATGCTAATCGTAAGAGTCAACCAAATCGATCAGGTGGTCAGACGCGGTGACTTGATGAATGGTGTGTCCTTGCACCCTGATCATGACTCATCTTGTATTGTCGCTTACAATATCGGTCACTGTATTATCTGGTACAGATTCAATTATATTAAATGCCGCTGGAATATTGCTGAGTGCCGAGTTAAACAACAAACAAATACACCTTTGTCACAATTCCCAAATTACTGATCCTCCCATTTGAGATGAAGAAAGTATTATATAATATTTGTTCAATGATCATCTCTTACTTTAGTACGTCCATTGAGCAACGCCTTACGAATAGATGTGATCCATTTGGCCCTCGCATTTCGCAACCTCTCGTGTCATTTTTGACAAATTTGAAGGCCGAATGGTGGTTCTATTGTGGACATCTTAGAACAAGCGGAGACATCTAAATATTCAGTCAACTTGTTGATTTTACAATAAGATTTACTGTAGATCATAGTACTGAAAACTCGCATACATTTCAACAGACTTGCTAAACATTGAGTGTTTTGAGCCAAACACTAACAGTTCCCAAACTGCAACTTCTTCAACAACATCACCTGCTGGATCAACTGACGGGACATGGTCTACTACACCTACGGCAACTGAGATCCCCAAGACAACAGGTCAACCGAGCATCATTTACTTTCCAGGTACAAGTTCCTATAAATGTTTATTTCCCATATGGCTCAAAGATGGACAATCAAAATCCACAGTAATGATTTCACGAGCCCATCTGATTTACTGGTTGACTATAAACTCTCTTACGTTTGACGGTATGTGGATACTTGATCCTTGCCACCTCGGTTATTCTGTAAAAGACACTGATTCGTTCCTACAGATACACCCATGGTTAAAAGAGATGTGTATGTTTCATGCTCATTTGACAACATCCGTGTTGTATATCATGCATGCAATGTTCCTTTGATATGCCAATATTCTCCTGTAATCGATACACAGGTTATTAAAAACGTTTATCAACTCAATGATAAAATACATTCATGTACTGGTGAACAGTATTATCGATTGCTCCTTTAAAACGTCATTTAGGGAATGTTTTCTGGATGATGTTTGGTCCAGGTAATGACTCCTCAATAGTTCAGTTACATTGAAGTGTGTTATCGTTATGTGAGAGAAAGCCTAAAGTGACGCTGGTCGTAGGTTGTTCGTGTCAGGTGAAGCAAACAAACTTAACTATCTTATTTACACACCATGGATCCTGTCCGAACCATATCTGTTTGATCATATAACACTTTGGAGCAGTCATGGATCCTGGTGGATACTGAGTCACCTGATAGATTTATCCCGTATGTCCATCTTGTAAGGTGTTATAATGTTGGTGATTGTGATGACATTATGTGTTTTATTGCAGTTGGTATCCTTGCCGCTGGACTTGCTACAGTAGCTGTGCTAGTCGTCATGGCTTGTGGAACATACGTCGCCATATCAAGGTTCATATGTTTAAGACAACCAACTAAACGTCATCTTCAAACGTTATCTTGTCAACACAAATGTAGACGACTAAATAGAACATGCAGCTTAACTTGACGAGTATGTGTAACGGTTGGTATCAGTGGAAAATGTTGGTGTAATAAACAAGATGAATTATGGTGTTGTGTTACAGACGAAGACGCCGGACATCCCACCGTCAGAAGCCTGCAGCTAACGACATTCCGATCTCTGTTGTCCATCCCACCTACTCAGGGCTCACGTCCAGAACAGAGGAGCCAAACAGCATCTATGACACAATAGACAATCCATATACCAGTGTGCCATAGACAGACACAGTAATTTGTTTTGTGTCTTGTGACACTGGACTCTGAAGTTTGTTCCCCTGGTTAACACAATAACTGACCTTTAATTGGATACATCTGGCATCTTTCTCACACCATGCTGTGTAAACTCAGTCCTACTCCCTACTTCATCTCGTGTGACCAAAGGGCCATTTACACCTGTCCGTATTTTTTCCCGTCGATCCGTATCCGCAAAAATCGGTTTTGTAGAAAATACACTGGGGCATCATCACGTATCAACTTAATCTTTGTCAGTGGTGTTTTAACTGAAACCTTGCTTGTTGTCATCATTAAGCCCATTAACAACACCAAAGGCGATCCTGGGGACCCAGGTACCCAGGGGTATATTAATTATAAGTTTCTTGGGTAAAGTTTTCACCTCCATTTTGAATAGCCGACTCCAAGCCTACTCTTACCATTTTGGGCTAATTGGCAAAGCCCAAGCCGGGTTCAGGAAAAAAACTTTTCAACAACTGATAACATAATTTAATCTTAAAACCACTCGTCGAGGTATACTCAAACCATAATAAGAGGCTGTATTGTGTTTTTATTGATTTTTGTAAGGCCTTCGATACGGTTTGGTATTATGACCTTTGGTACAAAATGATTCAAAGTAATATGTATATATAGGCGAGGGAATCACTCAAGCTATAAAAACTATATCATACCAATACTCGTCATCATCATTTGAAGCACTGATGGTCCAGTTCTGCAGATTGTGTTTATATTTTAGCGCTGATAGTTTGAGAAGTTGAAATGATCTCATTATGTTGTGAAAATGCGGAAAAGACCAAATGAAAATAAACAACGAACATGCTCCAAAACATTTAATTAACAGCAATTAAGTAATCACCTTTATTATATCAATGTTTGTATAAACTGGTATCCAACTAGGGTCGCAACTTCGCAAGACAAAATCACTGAGTAACGATACCTCATAACATCACATACGGAGATGAAAGTATCTTCTACATAGATGTAAATATCATCTACGTAGTTGTAATTATCAGCTATGTCGATGTAAATATCATCTGAGATGATAAAAGTTTTTTGGACCGTGTCACTTATACGCTTCCATATGATGACGTCAGGCAGGGAAACAACAAGTATCATGTTTTGACGTCTGTTGGTATAACGCGCCTGAGGATCGAACCACTGACCTTCCGCTCTCTGGGCAGACGCTATCCACGACATCACGGAGGCAGTCCGTTAAATAGGTAAAGGAAGAGAAGCCTATTGTCTCTAAACCCGACTCCCTATTGCGAATAATATAAATCTCTTACCATCGATACTCGCACTTTCTGTTCACCCGATTATCCTATCAAAACCGACAGTACCTACTTCCCCAGGTACTTATCTCAGTAGACACATACAAATCATTATACAAATGGTCATAAGATAATAATATGCTGTCCAAGTGACAGATGCGATATAAAATTATCCTGAGCGTGGTTTTGGAAGCGATAGTAAAATGATTTGTAACTCGCAACAGAGTGATTACAGGTGAACACTAGGCATTTTACTTATTGAATATTTGACCTTTCATAGTCTGGTGATATATAAGTGTGAGTAAGTTAGGTTGGCGCCGCTTTGAACCGCACTTTATGGTAATGTATCGGCGCGTTAGAAAACGTGCGAGGAAAACCCACCTTGATGCCGGTCCTCAAATATGGCGAAACCTACGTTCTGTATGGTTCTGAAGGAACAAAGATCATGAATAGGGTTCTGAGATTCGAACCCACAACTAGCGCATCAAAAGTCGAACACGTTTATTTGAATAATTAATGGAGCATCCTTCCTCAAATAGATAACATGTTAAAGTATAATACTGTTTGTAAAAAGAGAGTTTTAAAGGGAACTCTGCTGAAACTCCTATGTGCCTGATTGTCGACCTTGTCTGCGTTGAGGGGCGTGCCTTTATTCCCACCTTGGTAATCATAAACCGAAAGGTAAAAAGATAATGTACACACATGAAAGAGATGCAGACGGGCGTACCTAGGTACACACGATGCACCGATATGTACACACGCCACTGGGTGTGGTGCAGTGCATGTGTGTCGGCAACACTGGCCGGACCAGCTCCCTTTAGTTACACAGCAGACTCATTAGCATCTCAATGTTGTAACAGCATGGGGTAGAGTTTGTTCTTCATTCAACGAAAACACTTTGGCTTCCAAACGATGATGAATCTATTGTTGAAAACGACGACCTGTGTGGTGCAAACAGGCTCATCATACTGGGTCTAAAGTACATTGTATGGTCCTAACACATTTGAAGTAAAGACTGGAGGAGCGAGAACACCATGCATCGCCATGGTAACGTCAACGCATGTACGATCCGCGTTATAATTGATCGGTCCATGCTTGTCGAAAGACTAACGGGATCGGGTGGTCAGACTCGTTTACTTGGTTGATGCATGTCATCGTATCCTAAATGCCTAACTCGATGCCCATGGTGTCAATCACTGGATTGTCTGGTCAGGACTACAATATTATAGACCGCCGTCATATAGCTAGAATATGCGGCGTAAAATATCAAACTAACAAGCATAGAAATAATAGCATCGACGTCCATTAGACACAACCACTTCAATGTACAGCAACACTTTACGGTTTACGGATGACAGGGAAACGGATGAGGGATATCCATATACGAGGTCATGGGAAAACTTTCAATGCATGTCACTCTGCATTCAAATTGGTAACCGATAGTGTTTGTGTAGTGTTAAGATTTCAGCATGAATATTCATGATCAGAACCTACAACTGCTCTTCCTGGTTGCAACTGAATAGAGGTAGATCCTTTCATCGCCTGTAAGGTGAGTGTATCCGTATTCGCACTCCGTGATAATGATAGTTAATAAAACCCCTTCCATAATCATAAGAATCTCCGCCAAAGGAGTCCAGTTTACAATTACGACCACATAAACATGTGTTCATGAATCATAGTGATGATACCTGGTGGTCACGAAAAGCCCCATCGGTTGCACTCGTCACGTAGTGAAAGGAGATTTGGTGAGTTCTGAACAATGTTTCAGTTTTATCGGACTGCGTCAGTTTCATGTGGAAGGAAAGGCCGTTGATGTGTCAGTCTTCAGCAAAACCTACAAGTCACGGGTGTGTTCCTGAACATGCCCCTAACAGTGGATCGTTATCACATAAACAGAGACAAATCATTATATCATGACATGTTGTACATGATTGTGTCGTCGTATTGGTCAACGTCTGTGGATATCCGTGACCACTCTGGGGACTCTATCATTTTACAGCATTAAAGGAGTTGCTATCAATAAAACTGTGTCTACCTTGTCATCCATCAACTTCTAAGTAATGCCTATCAAACAATTTATTTTCTGAGGATACATAATCTTAAGCTCCATATTTGTTTAAAATTTATCTCATAGTTAATCAATAGTTTTCAAACCAACAAACAAATAGTTCTCTTTTGGGAATACAGTCAGTGTGTCTATATGCTACCAAGACGCACATTCCATAAATACGTCACATCCTAGTTGTAGCTGCGTGGAAGATGTCTATCATGATCATGTAAAGGACATTTGTCTGGTTTGATGGCTCGTACCGATGAATCGGACTATTTACACGTATTTAGATAAAACAAGCAGCAGAACAAAGTTACACAATGATACACATGCTGATAATAAACAACTCATATTAAGATGAGGTTATTTAAGGACTGTAAAGTGTGTTTTTTATTTCCGTTGATAGGATATTGTTTATCTACGTTAACGTGTAACTAAATTTCGGCACGTGTGTTTTGCACAGTGTTTGGTATGAATGACAGATATACATGTGCGCATGGTGTTTTCTTGGTTGTTATTTATATCAAATACTTTGGGTGTTTCACATGAAGACCTTTATGCAGTAACATTCATACGTAATAACATACTCGTCGACACGCAGCTTTTCTGAAACTAGTCTGTCGGCTTTCTATCTGGGATCCCCGCCGAGAACTGAGGCAATGTAGTGTGTTAATACTGGTCTCCTATTTAAACACGGTGCACATCTACTACTTTACTTATATTAATATACTAATATACTCACAACATGATTGTTTTAAATAGGAGGTCCCGAAAGGCTGTTGAATACACACAAGGAGGAATATTCATCTGAAGAAATACTGACGATAACGTCTAGTTCTGTTTATACACATACGGCAACACAGCTATACAAGTAGTAACAATGACACATGTTTGAAGTCGTATCTATTATACACTTACTTCCTGCTGGTGGTAAACATTACCGTACATTTCTGTACTTTGTATACCCCATGCTGTAACATGGGCGTATATGTCACCACCGGCCGTGTCCTTGAAGTGTCGTTAACGATTTCCAATAAACACCTTGAATGACGCATGTTTATGGGAGACTAAACTGGAATGAACCTGGTGTAAATGGAGGTTTCATGTCAGACTCGCTGTGTAGATTAAGCGTGACATAAACTCACTTGAAAACGAATTATACTTCCAGCTGGTCTGTTTAGGTGATGCAAACGGCAAGGAGGTCAACGGATGAGGGTGAGGAAGTAGTGGAAACGGTTTTCAGAGTTGAGTAATTATAAGACAAAGACGTCTGCGCTGTTTCACATGACGGGTGTTGGTGTATTTGGGCATGTTCGTGTACCTATTTCTGTACAACAATAAAAAACGAGTTATTTCGATTACATATTTTTTGACTAAATATCAAGATTTTGTTTACATGTATCTGTGGCGGTAGAATTCAGAATTATTAAATTGACAATTCTTGAAATAGAGACAAGAATTTTGTTTAATAGCTTCATGCATGCCTATATACATACATACACTTCTTCGTGAATCTGGACCCGACCGGTCCGGAAATCCAACCCTCTAAAACATTACACTGTAGTCAATATTACACAATCCTGAATATGCCTACCCGGCCGATTTATTAGGAAAGGTACAGTCGGGAATAACGAGACTTCACAGGATATGTGCCTGGGATATCGAATTATACACAAAGGCGAGATTGGTAGTCATATATACAAAGACCAATTATTATAGCATTTGTTACAAAGCCACTGGGGCATAACTCAAAGGCTGCTATCGAGGATCACACAACCATCAACTTCCTGGTTGGATGTGAATGTCACCAGACGTATATCACTACAAAGAAGTGCATCTAAAATTAGATCATCATGGACGTCTTGTTGACTCTCGTTGTCCTCACACTGCCGTCAGTAATCTAAGGTAAGATTTCAGCCATATACCAGTAATTATGTTACATAATAGACTGTGTAACAGGCGCCCAGTCAACATTGCTCTTCATGTGTCAGTGGTCTATATATACTGGTTTTGTACGTATGTCACCCAGACATTAGGATATCTTTCTGTTTGTAAACTTTCTATAAACATGTGAGTAGATGTCCGAGTTGCCTACAAAGACCCCTGATAGTTTACACGTATTTATTTGTTGAACGAGTTCATTGCAGTACATATTCTTATTATAGTCGTACAAATCACGATTTGCTTGATCGCCCAACCACCGAGACCAAAATAGTTATAATAATAGGCTATTTAATTCGCATATTTCCACGCCATGCTCAAAGCGCTATTATTACCCCGGTCACTGGATCAATGTGCACTCAAGAATCATTCTCAGCTCCCTGGGGAGTATACAACCCAAGATGCCTGCTAG